ACACTGGAACCACGGCGCTGGCTCTGGGAAAGACCCACACCCAAGCCTACTCTGGTCAGTGAAACTGTGCAGATGGCCTCCCTTACTGATCTCTAGATAAGGTCAGCATGTGACTGGACATAGAGTCTCATTTGGAATGGGCAAAGTGACCTCCAAAAGAGCCCTTTGCTTAACACCGAATTAAAAAAAGGAGAGTCGCTAAAACAGCTGGAAAGGGAAGAAGAATGCTCACACACCTGGTCAAAGGGCACAGCCAAAAGCTGCCCACACAAGCTGAGATCTCACATTTGATGTTTAAAAACAAAGCCTCAACGTGAGGTGGCTCACGTCTTCCATCCCAGTACTCTGGAAGCAGAGCCAGGTGGATCTCTGTGAGTTTGAGGCTAACCTGGTCTATAGAGCAAGTTCCAGGATATCCAGGGCTACACAGAGAAACCCTGTCTTGAAAAACAGAGAAAAAGCCAGCAAGCAAGCAAGAAAGCACACCTCTCAGAACACTCATGTTTATTTCAGTAGGGTTCCACACCTCCTCGACAAAATCTTTTTAAATAAAATTGCTGTTTCAGATATGCCGTGCTTCTCTGGGGGGAGGGTGAGGCCCTGGGAACTCCAATGTTGAACAGCACAGTTTAGGTCACATGCTGGGCAGAAGATAAATGCTGCCCTAACCCACCTCAAGATGACCTGGAACTGACGGGAAACAGAGGCAGGAGTGACACACCCGATCCCTGTGTTGCTACTTAGCATCATGAGAGGCACTGTTGATTTCTTCCACAACTTTCCTGATGGGGACCCTGCCAGGTGGCTCGGAGCCAGCTGCCTGGTAAGCTCTGAGAAGAAATACATTCCATTCCCAGTCCCAAGAGGCTGCATTTCGAAGGGAATTTGCAAGAATAGAAATTGTTTTGATCTTCGATCATGATACAGATAGAGTCGCTCCCTCTCCCACCCCCCACTTCTTAGATCGTCAACCACTTTGAGAAATAGATCCTTGTGGGAGAAGTTGCTTGCTTTCTCCCACACTCCTGAGGGTGGCTAGCCTCAAACATCACCACCCTGAGGCATTTCTGTCTGGCCTGCTATGTTTCCTTTGGACCCGCCCTCCTTCCTGATCCCTTGCTTGCTTTCCTTCACTCTCCAGCCCCTCACTACATTAACTGCTTCAAGGGGGGAATTCGACAGTGCAGCTTAGGATCAGAATGAGGCCACTTCTCTCTAGGGAATGACAACAGGGAAGAAGGGAGTTTAAGAGTTGTTACGTTTATTTATTTATTTACTCTGTGTGTGTTTATGTGTGTGTGTGTGTGTGCGCGTGTGGTGAGCATGTGCTATGGTCCATGTGTGGAGGTTAGAGAACAACTTGCAGAAGTTGGTTCTGTTTTTGTTTTTGTTTTTGTTTTTGTTTTTTACCATGTGAGTCCTGGGGATCGAACTTAGGTCAGTGGACTTGGCAGCAAGCGCTCTTTTCCACTGAGTCATTTCTCCAGCCTAAATTTAGTATTTTAAAGGTTCCAGGCCAGCTCCTCTGTACCCAATTTCATTTGATCTTCATAAAGCCCTGAAACACAACTATTATATAATTATTTTTCCTTTGACTTTGTATGTGTGGGTGTATGTCTGTATGCCACATGCATGCAATACCCCTGGAGGTCAGAAGAGAGTCTTGGATCCCCTGGAACTGGAGTTACAGATGATTGCAGGCTGTAATGTGGGTTCTGGGAATAGAACCCTGAACCTCTTGCAAGAGCAGCCAGAGCTCTTAACTGCTGAGCCAGGTCTCCAGCCCTGACACAGCGACAATTTTACCTTTGTAACACAGACAGTAAACTGAAACTTAAGAATGAATGGGGATTTAGACACAAGCCCCAAGTCCAGCACAGAGTATAAATGACAATTGGATTTATGAATGAATGGAGAAAGTGTATAAATGACAATTGGATTTATGAATGAATGGAGAAAGTGTATAAATGACAATTGGATTTATGAATGAATGGAGAAAGATGGAGCCAAACTCAGGGTCCTTTTGAGCACACTGCCTACCAGGAGCCCTTGCTGCCAGTGATTCTCTTCAAGAGAGGCCTGAGCTTCTCCTGGGTTTCTCCTAGGCACTGCCACTCCTTCATTCCCATTTCTCTTGTTTTGAAGGTTCTGGTCTCATCCGTAGTTGAAAGGCCCTGAGGATTTGCCCTGGGACCCACACAAACCACTTATGCACAGGGCTTAGCCCTGCCCACTTGAGCCTGTGAAGGAAGAATTCTGCAAGAGCACTGAAACTCCACAGATATGTGGGGGTTGTGGTGCGGCTCCTCCCCTCACCAACCAGACCCCAAAGACACAGTGAAAAGAATAGATCTTTTCTTTCACTGCACCCTTGCCTCACTCTTCTTTGAAGGAGGGGGCCAGGCTTGTCCTGGCATCTCTGAGAACAGCCCCCTGCCCACCCTCTGCACCACGCCCAGGACACCGCAGACATTCAGGAAAGGTCCCATGCCTTGCAATGAGTTGACAGCTGCCAGACACACTGTTCTTCCTCAGCAGGAGGTGAGAGAGCCCAGACACAACAAAGGAAGTAGATAAGCAGGCAACAGCCGAGGACAGGAGGGGGCCCTCTTAGTCAGAAAGTCCTGGGTGTCCCTGGCTATGTGGGTTTGTTGGAGGAGGAGAGCTAACACCACTAATTAGTGGGGTTTGTTGTAAACAAGGGCTGTCATTTAGAAAGAAAAAACAAAAACAAAAACAAAAGCATTAAAGGCCAGTGCTGGGAGATGTCCCTGCCCTCAGTGTTATGCATCAAGGGAGGGCTGGGGACCTGTGGAGGCCCAGAGAGGGGTGGGGATGCTATCGGGAACATTTTAAGTAAGTGGAAGAAGTGACTGGAGGTCATGAACACACTTAAAGCTTCAGTGTCCTATGCTCTGCAAGGCCTGGTTCTAATTTAGTTTAGCAGGAGGGATGGGGACAGCGCTGGGCCATTGGAGGCAAGGAAAACGTCAGATTTCTGTTTACTTTCCTCCTTCCCTCTTTTTTCCTCTCCCTTCATCCCTCACTCCCATTTGTTTCTTGTGTCAACTTGACTCAAGTTATGATTATCTGAGAAGGAGGAGCCTTAATTGAGAAAATGTCTCCATCACATTGACCTCTAGGCATGGCTGTGGGGAATTTTCTTGATCAATGACTATTATGGGAGATGTCAGTGCCACCCCTGGGCAGGTGTGGCTGGGTTGTATAAGAAGGCAGGCTAAGTAAACCATATGGAAAAATCTAGTAGGCAACATTCTTCCATGCCCTCTGCTTCAGTACCTGCCTCTAGGTTCCTGTTTGAGTTCTTTCCCTAGCTTCCCTTAACTATGGGTTATAAACTATAAGATGAAATAAACGCTTTCCTCCCCAAGTTGCTTTTGGTCATGGTGTTTCTCACAGCCACTGAAAAGCAAACTGGGACACTTTGCTTGTTTATTTTCTTCCTTCTTAAATTGAAAACCACTGTAACTACAGAGCTCCACCCAGCACAGAGTCCTCCCAGCTGTTATCCTCCCCCTTTGTTTGTCAAGCTTCTGGCATTTGTTCCTTGTGGAGGTGTGAGTCTGTATGTGTGTAGAGGAAGGTGATGGGTATGATCAGTTTGAGAGGTTTGTTTGGCTCCCACACCCTCACAGACTCTTGACCTATCATTGTTTCATTGCAGTCTCTCCTATAAGGTGGTCTGGTCTGAAGAGTTGTCAGAACTGTGTCAAGTCTCTTTCTGGGAGACAAACTCCTTCTCTGACTGGCACTAGGCTTAGCTATGAATGTTTACATTTCCTTGCTGCTCCGGAGAACACAGGCTTTCCTGAAATCAGTTAATATGGGTTAATATGACACCCCACCTCCAATGACAAAGCTGAAAGTGGAAGTGAGTCCATACTATGGGCTCCTGTGCCCTGGATTGACACTACCACACAGGCTGTCAGAGCCCTGCTGTTCCCATTTTTTGTGGTCCATTGTTTCAATAGTCTGCTGGCCAAAGGGAGGGACATGGTGCTTCTTTTAATTAAATTAGCATTTTTATTTAATTAATCTGTAATGTTTGTGTGTGCATGAGGATGAGCCTGCACATACATACTTGCAGAGACCAGAGGAGGATCCAGTATCCCACTCTATCATTTTCTATCTTATTCGAAGTTTTTTACTGAAACTAAGACTCATCCTTTTCTGCTGGGATTGCTGGCCACTGAACTCCTGGGATCTGCCTGTCTCTGTCAACTAGTTCTGGAGTTATAGCTGTAAGAGCCAAAGTTAACCAGTAAACCATACTTGCCTAATGACAAGATAACTTCATGGAATGCTGGGAGTTGTAGCTCTTGGGAAATAATAAGCCACATGTCTTAACTCACCTGAACAAGTTTTTTTGAGCCATCTGCACAGAATATGCATGATCGCATGTGGGTGGGAGGTACATAGGCAGGGAATACATCAGGAAGTATGTTTGCTCCTGATTGGACATGATGGGAAACACAGTGAGTTATGGGTTTTGCCATTTTAAGCCCCTGAAAAAGTGACTCATAACCATCCCCTGGGAACCCAGGAGTGGACCTGGCTGGAGTCCTTCCTGGCCAGTATTTAGCTAAAGCTTGTTTTAAATTTGGCTTAAAATTGTGGAACAAGTTTATCTCCCATGACTCTTGGGATTAACATTTGGAGGCCCCAGCGAGATGAGAGGAAAAAAACCCAACTATTTCACCTAAATTCATTTGTTAAGAGAATTTCTCAGGCTAGAGAGATGGCTCAGAGGTTAAGAGCACTGACTGCTCTTCCAGAGGTCCTGAGTTCAATTCCCAGCAACCACATGGTGGCTCACAACCATCTGTTATGAGATTTGGTGCCCTCTTCTGGTGTGCAGATATACATGGAAGCAGAATATTGTATACACAATAAATAAATAAAATCTTAAAAAAAGAGAATTTCTCTTGGTCAGACTGGAGGACCTCTAAACTACTCCAATTGTTCATGCTTTCTGTTGTCATCTGACTCTGTGTTTTCTGTTGTTGCCTTGGCTGTATCTTATGTCTGTACCTGTCTCTCTGACTCTGGGCAACTGGATGGACAAATGGCAAAAGTAATAAGCTGGAGCACTGCTACAAAAGGTCACTCCAGAAATGACAGAGCTTTGGCAGCATGGGGCTCAATGGGCATCTTTGAAGAAAAACTCAGGGCCCATGCAGAAGCCAGCAGGTGGGCCTGCTTCATCCCCATCTCCAACACAGCACCACTGTACAATTGGAGCTCCAACTCCAGTGCCATCTTCTTTAGCCACTTTAGCCACCGTGATGGTTCGTGAGATTGCCAAGTCACTGCTCTTACAACTTCAGGCTGATTCAGAAGATTCCATTCCACCCCTTCCCAGGGGAATTACAACACTGCAGAAGGTACGAAAAGTTTTTGTCTGTCTGCTTTCTATGTACGAACATGGCCATCACGTGTTTGTTTCTGACTGGTCTCTCTTGAATGTGTGAGCTTACGGTGTTCTGTGTTTCTTTGTTATATCTCAGTTGTTTCTGTTGCAGCCAATGATAGGGGGGAGGGTTAAAATTTATCTCCAAGTTTCTGGCCACTGGATCTAATTTGGAGATGGATAATATTAAAGTTGATTTATGCTGTTCTACTTGACTGAAAAGCTGGCTCTGGAATTGGATTGTGCCTCTCCCTTTCTCAGCAGGCACACTTTCAAAGTCTATATGTCCAGGGTCAAGAGCATGGAGAAAAGAGCAAAGCAGAACAGCTAAAGGAATTATCAATTTCATTTAATTTCCTAAAACTGTTATATGACCTTTCTATACCTCAGGATTTGTAAATTTATTGAATATGGTAAATAAAAAGTTCATTCAAAACTTGTAACATGGGGCTGATAGCTAAAAAAAAAAAATCTATGCATAGGTAATCTTCAAGGAACCATTTGGCATGATTCCATTTTGGGATATAACCAACACAGGCCTGCCACCATCCTTAGGCAGCCACAAGGTTGACAGCCATCTTTGATAGAGTTGGAGAAGAAAGATGTCATATGGCTTGACTGCCATCTTCATTAAGGGTAACCATATGATGTGGGCTGACCAAGGAGACAACAGATCTCTAAGATACTTTAGATTGGGATGGATTTTTATATGATAATTCCTGTCCTTTCCTGAAAACGTTTATGAAAGATAGGATTTTAAAAACAATGCTTATTTAATGTTATTAAAATGGTACCTCAGTGTGTTCATATACAAGAGTGTACCTTGCTGGCAGCCAAACTTTGTAACATAAGAGTCACCCAGGTGGTGTTTGTTTTAAAGACATGAAGGGATCATGGAGAACACCTGAGGCTTGCCAGTGCATGGCAGGGGACCCTAGCAGTTTTGGAGACACTAGTGTCATGTTATAGTCACCAAAAACACCAGCTGCGATGATATGTAACCATCTAGGACCTAGAAAGCCCTCTGTGTATGATGCAGAGGGTGAGATCAGAGAGTGACCCAAGCCCCTTGGAAAAGCCCTGGAGGAATCCCAAATATTGAGCATTGAATCATTTATACGGTTGGAGCTTGGTTTCACCTTGTGCAGATTATGGTTGTGCCATGTAAAAATGGTACCTTATTTTGATATTGTAGATGTACAGATTAAGATACATGGGACTAGCTTAAATATAGGTTAATTTTATTCGGGGAGAAGTCACTTACATGAGAAATGGATGATCCGAAAGTTCTAGTTCCAAGGATCCACACCCAACTGCTCTCTGTGTCCCAACCAGAGCCAAAAGAGAGAGCAAGCCTGTCTGGGACCCCAAACCAAATACCACATGCTCACATATGCACCTGTGACCACGCCCAAACAGGGATGGTCAGTGCCACAGGTAAGACTGTTTGGATCTCTCACTACAATACAGTTGAGAGATTTTAAACTCCCTTAAGAGGAAATTTTGGAATTTTACAGAAAATGTAAATGGAAAAAAACAACTGGATATTTTTTAAAGGAACAGCCTTTAAAATATTTAAGTTTATAAGGTTATGGAATATTTTAAGTTCGTAAGATATTTTACTATGATGTTGTTATATAATCTTGATAAATAGATTAATAAAAGGCTAAAAATTAGGGCCACAGCTATGAGCACCAAACACTAAACACCAGAGACTGAGGTGTTCCTATCATATGATGCAATATGACAATGACCTAAGCAGTCTGGCAAAGGTTCTCTCCTGACCTCGGGTATATTCAGGCTACGAGACTGGCTTAAGAATGAATGTCTGACCTCCTCGTCTTCAGCTATTTTGAAACTGAGTCATACAGGAAACTATGATATTCTGTAATGGTGCACTGTGTAAGGACCAGGAAAGTAGTTGCCGTCTCCGTGTGGTCTGTATTCATGATTTAAAGTTTTGTTTTGATACTAAAAAGAGCTTCAATTCAGAAATTGTTATTTTTTATTATGAACTGTTAAAGGTGATTAAGCCTTAATATGTTCAGAACTATATCTGTAGTCATGTTAAGTACTAATGTAATTAATTACAGGAAAAAGATTGGTTTAGCCTCCTGTATATGTTTTCAAGGTATAGCCTAAAAACAACCAAGGTTTGTTTAACTCATATACTTAAATAGATAATGGTTCTCAAACTTGTCAGATATCTGCTGAATACGACATTTAAGATGTTTAATGGAAAAGCTTACTATGGTAGACAGAGACCTCCTGCTCCTATCAGTGACCCCCAAGGTCCCAAAGAAGATGACAGGCGCGTGATGATGATTCCACCTGGATTGTGGTAACTAAACACTAATCGAGACTGCCCCAGTGCCTGGCCCACCACCAGGACCTGGCCCACCACCAGGACCTGGTCCAAACTGTGGACAAGCAGGACACTGGAGAGTGGATTGCTCCGATTTGCCTAGACAAAGTAAGGTCAGTTTCACCCATGCTCCTCCTTCACAGGGAAGCCTCTCATCTTCTGGGCCTGGCAGCCTAAGACTGATGCTGCCCTCCAAAACAAAGCTATGGATACTACAGGAGCCTGGAATGACTGTCTAGGTAATGGACTAGTCTCTGTCATTTTAACTGATACAGAGGCCATTTGGATTATACTTCCTGCTGTAATTTATCCTTCTCAGATCTCTGATGGCATTGACATCTAGGCTAACTGTAGCTTTGTCAGCTAGGCAGCATCGGGCAATCAGTTCCTTCCCCCAAGGCTCCAGCCACCTTGTTAGTTAAAATACAGCTACCAGGTCTTTTGTTAAGAAAAGGCAGACATGTTTGTTTTGCTAACAGTCTTTATATTAAAGGATAAACAGGTTTCAGATGTAACTTTTCACTAAAGAAACACACCTTGCAATGATTGATTGCTCTTGGTCATAATGACTCATGTCGCTGCTAAATGATTAGATGGAAAGAAAAAGGTTTAAAACCCATTTAAGTTCTAAAGGTCTAAAAAATAATTTGAGATATATTTAAAAAATGGAAAATGTTTCAAACCTCCCCCCCCCCCAGTTAATTGTTATACTGAGAAACTTCTAACAGACATCTGTTAGCTGCTTTTTCTACAATGTGGATTTCAGTACAGATTACAAACACTGATAATGGGGCTGGAGAGATGACTCAGCAGTTAAGAGCTCTTACTGTTCTTCCAGAGGACCCAGGTTCAATTCCCAGCACCCACAAGGCAGCTTACAACTGTTTGTTACTCTAGTTCCAGATGTTACTCTAACGCACATAAAATAAAGGTTAAGTAAATTATTAGAAAACACTGATAACGTTCATATATCTAAAACTTTCATCTTTTTTTAAACTAAAAATTAATCTAAGCTTCAGGGAGTCAAGGGAATCATAGACTTGGATCCATCTCTCACAGGTTGAAGGGACTCCAGATAAATACAACCTAAGTTTCCCCATCTGCTTATTTCGGAGGGAGGGATCTCTCCCCTGGTATTGGGACTCTTCTGCTTCCCCAAATACTAGGAAATGTAAGATTTTCCTTTCAAGTTGTTAAACTTTAACTTCTGTCCTTATTTGTCTCAGCCGATTTCCACTTGGCCTGCAGACACTATCCAGGGATCAACTGTGGACTGCAAACTGCTGAGCTATGGACCTTGCTGACAGCGGATATGGACCAGTTCAGCCAATGGGATGGCTCCCTGTCTCTTCAGCTGGGTCAGCTAACCAGACGCTGCTGACAAACATCCTATTGGATCCTACTGAATCCCTTCCTAGGCTTTGACTAGCCTTTTAGCCTTCCTGGGCTTAGTCTTAGTTTCAGCTGAAAGTAGTTGCAGGTGGATACATCATCCCTCATCCCCTTACAGGCTGAAATGCTTACTCAAAACAAAGCACCCTGGCATAGGGAACAAAATAGCTACCTTTAATACCAACTGGCATACCAGGAAAATGGGCCCAGATTTATAAACAGGTTGATTCATTAACTAAAATAGTTCTACAATATGATAGGGTATTTGGCCTGATTTATGTAGAACATGGAGACATATAGCTTTAAGAGAAAATGATTGTTTCTACAAAAACCATTTGGGTTGTAATCTGGCTCCACTCAAAAAACGTTGCAAAAGGGGGACTGAAATGAAAAAAAAAATGACTGATGTCCTGTTCATTTCCAGGCTTTCTAAATAGTAACTGATGTCAGGTATCACAGGGCCTTTGACCCTTCTGTTTCCTATCTGGGTACCATTAAGCTGATGGCTATTACATCCCAATATAAAAGGTATCCATCATAGAATCAAGGATTTAACTCAGGATACAACTCAAGCGGGGAATGTACTAGCCAAAGTTAACCTGTAAGCCCAACTTGCCTAAGGACAAGACAATTTCCTGGAAAGCTGGGAGTTGTAGTTCTTGGGACATAGCAAGCCACATGTTTTCACTCCCCCAAACAAGTTTGTTTGATTATCTGCACTGGATGTGCTTGATCACATGTGGGTGGGAGGTTCACTGGCAGGAAATACATCAAGATGTATCCTTGACCCTGATTGGACCAGATGGGAAATGCAGTGAATTATGGGTTTTGCCTTTTTAAGCCCCATGCAAAACATGACCCTTAGACATTCCCTGGGAACCCAGGGGTGGTCCTGGCTGGAATCCTTCTTCCTGGCCAGTATTTAATTAAAGCTTGCTTCAAATTTGACTCAAATCTGTGGAACTAGTTTATCTCTCACGAATCTCAGGATTAACACAGGCACATGCAGCCAAGTTTGTTTTTTTTTATGTGAGTGCTGGAGATTTGAGCACAGCAAGTACTCTTGCCTTCTGAGCCACTCCACAGTCCCCCTTGGAGAATCTTCATCCCTGTCTGGAAGGCTATAGTAGCAGTGGAGCAGTAGTGGCTGTGTGTTAGGTACAGGTCATGGCTGAGAGCAGCTTCTCACGGGGCCTGGGAAATGCAAGGGAACATGGAGGAACCATCACATCACATCAACATGTGGCATCCAGAAATTAAGTGGGCTTGGTCACCAGGTGGAGGGAAACCTGAGTGCTGCCCATAGGGCTCTGACAGCCTGTGTGATAGCGCCAACACAGGACACAGGAGTCCACAGCATGGATTCACTCCCACTTTTAGCTTTGTGATCTGGGAAGGTCATCTTGTAAGCAGCCAGACAGAAATGAAGATATTCTAAAGATATATTTGTGTCTCTCGGTCTGACCATCACACTATTGAGACAATGAACCCCAGAGAAATGGAATTTCCACAGGTATCTCATGCTGGGAGAAAGAAAGGTCATAGCCAGAGGGAAACTTGTCTCTGACAGTTAGAGCCAGATTTCACACAGCTCTAACAGTTCATCAGGCAAGATGTGTCAATGACAAGCTTGACCCTACCTTGACCAGGACAGCTTTGATGTGCATATCCTTGGCCCTCTACTTAAACTTTGATCTCATTTTAAGACCTTTCTGAGGTTTGCTGGATTTCATTGTCCCTCTTCTCATGTTGAGTAACCACCCCCACCACTTTTCTGCTTTCCACTATTCATTTGTCTTTTTGCCGAGGATGCATGGCAAGCCCTGACTTGGAGCACAGATTGTGGTCCCTGAGTTTGATAACAATCTGATTTTGTTCATCTGTGTTCAGGAAAGCCTGTGGCCTCAGACCCAGCAAGGCAAGCCAGTCCAGAGGTCAGTGTCCAGGAGCCTCCACATTCCAGCATGTAGAGGGCAGGGATGGATGAGGAGGGTTGGTCGCTTCTGCTCCTTGGCCATCAGAGAAGATTAACTGCCTTTTCCTGGTGCGTCCAGGAATGCACCAGACTGTTTTGTTTCCTCAGGCTGCCTGGGATCTTTAAAGCAAGAACCTCAAGGCAGTTAGTGGAGGAGGCTTAGATACTGTCCCCAAGTGCCTGGAGCAGCAACACTCTGGTGTCCCTCTTCTCTATGCCATACACATATATCCTTCCCTGGCTCTGGTTCCCCTCCTGGCCCTTCCCTCTCCAGAGACCACCTGAAGGACAGCAGGACCCTTTAAGTGTGGGAGGAGATGTCAGGGGAGCACAATATGCTGTTTAGCTAAACGTGTACCTTGCCTACATATTACGTTAAGGAATATGTCCCCAAAGCCTCCCACTCCTATTGGCTGCTTTTAAAATTCTGTTGTCTCTGTAGCCTGGTCTGATTTCTCTGTGTTTGAGCCCGAGGATGAGACTATGAAGAAGGGTGTATGAGAGGCTCAGCCCAAATAGAACTTGTTGTGTTCACTGATCATTACAGACTACCTGACACAGACAAACTTGGATCTCTCAGACATGTTTTCTCACTGCAGAGGGCTGTTCCATGTGGCAACTGTGCTCCTGAGCCCCACAGCCTGTGGGCACATCAGTGTATGCATGGCTAACATATGCCTGGGCGGTCTGGCAACAACACTGGCCCAGGAGGCTGAATTCAACCATATGCAGTAGAACATGGCTGCAATATGCTTTCCCAGCAACGTCAAGGAAGCTGCCTCACCCCTTCTCAATTTAGAGGCACAAGCTAGCTGGCAGCTATGCCCACGAATGGCTATGCTTTGCAAAGATATGTATGTGTGCTTATTGAGGTAAAATTCACACTTATACTATTAGCCTTTTAAAGCGCACAATTGGGTGGCATTGGGTGCATTTACAAAGTTGTGCAGCTACCATCTTTCTTTGATTTTAAGATTTTTGTCACCTCAGAGAACACACTGTACCCAAATAACAGTCCCTCCTACTTCTCTCCCTCTCCCATTTCTTAGCAACCACTAATCTGTTTTGTGCCTATGAATTTGCCTGTTCTGAATATTTTATATATAAGCAACACATAGTGTCTGGCTTATTTCATTTAGCATATTGTCTTCAAGGTTAAGCCAAGTTATGAGGTCTGTCTTTCCATCTTTCCACTTGGTCATTAAGACAAACTCATACTGATCCTTCTTCCTCAGCCTCCTAAGTATTGGGGTTACAGATGAGCCATCTTGATGGGCCACTTCTTTTCTTTTTAATTTTTAAAAATTTATCTTTATTTTGAAGTGTGTGTGTGTGTGTTCAGGTAGGTGCCTGACAAGGTTGTGGGAACCTCTGGAACTAATAACAGGAGATTGTGAGCCATCCGATGTGGGTGCTAGGAACCAAACTTGCATTATCTAAAGGAGCAAAAATGGCTTAACTGTTGAGCTGTCTCTCCCAAGTTCCTTTTTTTCTACTCATAGTTTTATAGTTGAATAATGTTCTACTGCATATCTAGGAGGTAACATTTGCTCACTCATCTGCGAATGGACATTCTGGTTGCTGCCACCTTTTGGCTATTGTGAATAGTGTTGTCGGCAATGTGTGTGAACAAGTATTTGTTCAGGTCTCTGTTTCCAGCTCTTTGCCGTATATACACACTTGGAGTGGACTTGCTGGGCCATTGGGAACTCTGTTAACTCTTTGAGGAAACCCACACTTCATTGGATCCTCAGAGAACCCCTATGGGACAGACCTGCTTGATGGGGACGTCCTTCTGTGTGTATGTTTGTCTTATTGGTTGTTGAATAAAGTACTGTTGGCCTATGAAGAAGCAAGTTAGGCGGGACTAGGAGTCAAGGAGGATTCTGAGAAATATAGTAAAGTCTTGTGATCCAGGCAGGAAGTGACATAGCAGGCAGACTCAGAATATAAGCAGGAAATCGTTCTTCCTCTTCCTCCTCCTCTCTTCTCTGGAGCCACCATGTGAGCCTGACAAGAGAGGATGTACGCTGCCTCCGGTGTCCTCCATCAGATAAGTCTTTATAAATATATAGATTATGGCTATGGTTGATACTTAAGACAGAGCAAGCATATGAGAAACCCTAGTCATTGGCCAGCAGCATTGTATCTAATATAAGTCTCTGTGTGTTATTTTGGCCACCCATGTGGCGGGCGGAATTTGGGCAGCTTGTGGGAAAGACTTATCATTACACCTGCTTAGTAAAATAGCAGCTGTTACTACTGTTATCATCAGGAGCAAGTACAGGTTCAGCACGGACAGTGATGAGCTTAAGAATATTCTAAATGATGGATCAGAATCAGACCGAGGTCTTCCAATTCACAGTTACTGAACCAGAACCAAATGGTGGTCTTCCAACTCCAGTCCATGCAGCCAGTCTTCTTGGCACTCAGTCCACAGCTTCCCCTAGAAAACAATCCACACCTGGGGAGAAGCCATACCATATGCACCCCTGCTGACCTTCTGCAAGGTGGACCAACCCACGAGAACCTTAACATTGCCCAGAGATTGGAATGTTGCAGGTCCAGAGACTAATTATAATTGACTTTGGGCTATCTTTACCTCTCTTATTAACCATTCTTTTTCTACTTCTGTGCTTGATCTAACATCTGTGAGACTTTTAAATGATATCCTTTTAAATTTTGCCGACTGCTGTTGTCAACCAGCTCTAAAGCTAAGAGTGCTGTCAGATGGCAGAGGTTTCCCCTGTGTGCTGTGACACACCTACCAGATGCTTCCACGGATGTGGGATGCCCTTTGTATGCTGCGAATGTGTGTTGCCTTTATTGGTTGAGGAATAAAGCTGCTTTGGTCTATGGCAGGGCAGAATATAGCTAGGTAGGAAAGCCAAACTGAATACAAGGAGAAAGAAGGCAGGGTCGAGAGAGATGCCAGCAGCAGCCAGAGGAGGAAGATGCCAGAGCAACACTGATAAGCCACGGATCGTGTTGTGATACATGAATTAATAGAAATGAGTTAACTTATATGTAAGAGCTAGCTAGTAATAAGCCTGAGCCACCAGCCAAACAATTATAGTTAATGATTATTTTATAAGTGGCTTCGGGACCAGGCAGGATGAAGAAAAGCCTCCATCTACATTTAGCCCCCAACTAACATGGGGCAGGAATTTCCACATAAAACCAGAAAAAAAACACCTTTTAAAAATCGGGGAGGCAGTTGTAAAATAGGCAAATGGAGCCAAAACTGCTTCCTATTTGTGTCTCTCATGCATGTAGCAGTACAGAGATAGCACAGGGCATTAGGGCTTGAGTACAGCATGGTGATTCACTCCAGTACAGATGCTGTGTGAGCAGATTTGGCTTTTGCTTACAGAAACAAAAAAAGGGTTGTAGGTTAGCTGCATGCTATCTGGTGGCAGCAAGGACCCCAGGGTGGACATGGGTAAGCATAACTCTCCTGGGTACCTCTGCCATGTTGGGGAGCTGAACAGGTCAGAGCCAGCAGCCAAAAATGCCTTTTGTCCTAACCACGCCCACTTAGCAGTTTAAAGCAGTGATCACAAAAAGATTACAGATAAACAATAAAGTCAGATTCAGACAAAAAGAAACCTCTAAACCTCTAAGGTCACGATATGTTTAAAAATTGTACGTAGGCTTGGGAGAGAGAGGAGAAAGAATATAGGCAGTTACAGAAAAAAATAGTTTTAAAAAATAAAGTCTTTAAGAGACAATAAAAGTCATGTAAAAGAAATAAGCCATGTAAAGATGAAAAATGCAGAGTCTGAATTGTGTATAATATTGTGTTTTCTTTGAATTTTTGACTTTTAATGAGCTAACTGCTGAGAGACATTTGATTACAGGGGCTGATAAGCTAAACCAACACACACACACACACACACACACACACACACACACACACACACACACATATTTTAAAGGTATCTTGACTTCAAAATTGAAGTCTAAGGATATG